ACGGCCCTCACTGTAGCCTTGTATACACGACCTTTCAGATGGAGGGAAACTCCCTTCTGTCGCCAAAGATGCCGCAGGTTCAAGAAGGTAGCTCTGGCTTTTGCAATGCGTGAGCTGACGTCAGTTTCTATGCGTCCATCATTGCTGATGCAGCTACCACGCTAAGTGAAATGATCAACCATCTCGAGTTCTTCGTTAGCAAGCGTCAAGGGGTCATAAAGTGGTTGGTGGTCCTGCGTGCAACCAATAACGAGAGGATAAGCCGGGTGCAGTCAGTTCGATAACTCAGTTAGGGTCATTGATCCTAGTTTCGGGCACACAACACACATCAATACCTAGTGTGTTCAAGGTGCGTGCGAGTGCAGCCTGTTGACCTGTTTGTCTTAGAGTGCGAACGTTGAATTTCGCCATGGAGACGGGTTAGCGTGGCCTTATAATGGACTTTTGCCGATAGGTGCGGTGGGATGGTGGCTGCAGATGGTTCTACTCCAGTGGCACTTCAGTTGCCGTCAATTAAGCTGGGAATTATAGAAGGAAGGTTAGTAATGCGGGTCGGGATGGGAGTAAGAGAAAAAGGTGGAGGAGAAAGAAGGGAGCCGTCAGTAGTAGCATGTTTTCGCTTATCCGCCCTGCTGTATACAGCAGATAAGGCGACCCTTGATAATCTGCGCGACGGCCGATGCAGGATGAAGTTTATGTTTGAAGGTGTCATGGTTGTATGTGAGCTGAGATACTGCTAGGACGCCCAGACCTAGACAGGAGGACGATTAGGGTCCTCATCCAAAGCCTTTGGCTCAAAAGCCTGTCCGCAAGGCAGCGGGGTGGCAGTGATTTAGTTTTACAGGAATGGACGCCATCCCATTTCAAACCCCCAACCTGGAGGACCAGGAGACTGAGTTTGTCTGACATCTCACCATTGACCAAACTGGTAGGAGTAGCTCTCAAGTTGTCCGGAGGCATCACCCAGTATAGTTCAATGGGTCAATGAGGTACGCAAACCGTCGCATCATGTTAAGGTCCAGTCTCGTTGCGACGGATGCATGTAGCTAGGGATAGGTCGGTTTTCTGCTGGCTCATTTGCGTGCTGCGAGAACCAATTCTACTTGCACACGATCCAAAACTGATTGTGCCGAATTCGTTCAAGTAGTACTTAGCAACGTGCGTAGCCTGAGAAACAAGATTTGCGCGATGGATCTGCTCGTGGACAAATCTCGTCTAGAAATACTTGCCTTCACTTAAACGTGATTGTCTGAGGAAATCACGGACAGCGGAGTATATCTGCCTGGCTACTCACTGTTTCGCGGTGATTGCTCCATTGGCCATCAAGGGGTTCGGAAGCAAAAGACGGCTAGGCGAACGAGCTTGTTTTCGGTGGTTCGCATCAGGCCAATACACCACTTTATGTGAGGTCTTGCCTATACGTATTGTGGATAAGTCTTTTTCAATCTGTAGACAACTCTGTTGGGGCTCTCACAGTTGTGCTTTGCGCTTCCTCAGTTCAGTTTATGATCGTAGCAGTGCATAGAAAACCTATGAGCACATCCAATGGGATCATTGTGTTTATACGCACTCACTGTGCGAACAATTGTCTAGTTCTGGCCGATGTCAACCTTCCAGATCTATCTTGCAACTTGGTGCTGGGATCATTCGGTGCAAAACTGCTAAACTTGTGGCTGCGGGTACAACCGTACCAGTTCGTGGACCTTCCCACCAGGTACTTGAGCAATCAGCAGCCATCCATCCTAAATCTTGTTTTTACTAAATCACTTGACTTTGTAAATAGCATTACTTGTGGCTCGCATCTTATTGCTAGCGATCATACTTGTCTTTTCAATGTTCTTTTAACAGGACACTGGCGATTGGCTTCCTAACATTTGCGTCGCAAATGTTCAGACATTGCGAGACGGCTTCGTCGCCGACTTGTATGATCGATGAGAAGGACACTGTGCAAGTAGTCTGAGAACATTTTGCCACGGTTATTGAACGACTCAGCGAAAAAAGCTAGCTTTATGTATAGTGATTGTTCTGTCCCCGAAGGATTTATTATGCTCAACAACGAACACCTATGTGTACAACTGTGTAACCGCAATCTCGGAAACAGGTATTCTGATCAGGTTGAGTGTCTGATGGCGTAAACCAGATAATCTTCAAATACTATATTTCACGCCGTACATAGAATCACAACCAGAGTTGGACTTTCAAAAATTCTCTCGTTTCATTTAGCATTATTCCAGCATGATTGGCAAAATGAGGATCTCTGACAGATCAATTTTGGAAAGCCTACGGTGGTCGTATACCAACTGCATACTAGATATAAATCTTGCCGAGAAGTACCAGGAGCTCTGCCAGCAGTTCCATACCGCCCAACTTTTACTGCAAAAATTAGAGCATACTACAGTGCAACCTAGTCCATCGAAACTCCTCTTACCATTTATTTACGTTAGAATTGCGGCACCATTCCTAACATGGACTGTAACATAGGTGTACCAAAGTAGAGGAGAAATATGCGGTCCATTTTCCTTCGAACAGGATATGTCGTCCTCTTGAATAGGCTTCAAATTACACTCTGGGAGAGTGCAAAAGCATTTCATAATAAGCTCGGGAGTTGCGTTGACCTGAACATAATTATGATCTTGTTATTTTGGGGAAGATTTCTTGATGAAATGTTTCAAGAGGACCGAGATAACATCTAATAGGTGCGTTAGAAGGAATTACTGCAATGTGTTAGCATCATCGTCGAAACACACCAATGCCATCCACTTTACTGCAACACCCCTGTTCGCACGAGGGACCACAAAGTGTCCGCTAGAGGGACGGTTGGAGCTCCCTGAGTGACCAGTCTTTGCTCCCCCGGCCGTCCCAATGGAACAATTTTTGGACGTTGTTTGGCCACTCGAAATTCTTCCGACACACCCTTACCCTATACCGCAGATGCATTTCTCGTGGTTGCGAAAATCGTCAACATTAAACGGAAATCGATTCCCAAATGGTAATTACGCAATACTATCGCCGTTAGGCTAAACCGAAAATGTTTTCGTGTAACAAAAAGTCGCGCAAAAGTGTCCGATCGGGACGACCAGGGGAAAAAACTTGATCAGCGCTTCAAACTGTCACTCGCGCTGAATGAATATACGCTTTTACTAAAAGCTAAAGCCTTTTAGGCAAAGGAGGGCGGTGCTAATGATGTATAAGCTTAGTTAACAACATATCTAGACGGCACCATTTATATTCATATAAAATTTTCGCCTCCATGAGTGACCAAAATCACTCCCGAATGGCACGGTTGGCCGTCCATCTGTGGGAACAAGGACATTAAAATATGTACCATATGCACCCATTTCACTTTCAACTGGGCACTTTGCAAACCAAACAGGACAGCTTTTTGAGTAGGAAATTTGCAGTTTGTTAGCTCATTTTAATGAGTAAGACGACGGGACGATGTTCAAGCCACATTGCGGTCAGACTAATGTAAGCCGAATTGTGCATGCAGTGCGCCATCGTTTAAGCCCTTCTCTGGAGCATGAGCGTCGTTCCCTCGATCAAAGGCCGTGCCCCAGTTTCTCCTGTCGCTCAATCGGCACTCGCGTATTGTTTGTGTGCGTGAATCTATGCAGTTGCGAGACTATGAGAACAGCGTAGACTGGTTCTCTGAGTCTAGCTGCGACGAATCTTCACTAGACAGTGTACGCTCTTTGATTCCATCAAACTTCGTATAGCTTTATTAACCTACTGCTGCGTAAAACGACAAAAATGAGCGACGAACGACGAAGTGCATCTCCGAGGCAGCAGCAGTGCAAGCGAACACAACTGGTACATAAAGAGATCCCTAACAAGTTTATGTTCTTCGACGGTAGTTGCCGTTGAGGCTTGTCTGCCCTGCTTCGTTCAGGACAAAATGGACTTCGAGAGGGTTTTAAGAGTAGGTACTAAGTTGGTCGAGTGGTTACGGTGCAAAACGTCCCCCGAGCGTCTACTTAGCTTGGATTTTATTCACTGGACTACCGACGGCCTCGTGGAGACTTAATTCTTACCGCATTTTAACAGGGAAGGTTGAAAAGGACTTGAGCTGGCTATTTAGCCAGGCTTGGTCGCATTGTCTTCTCGGTCATCCCACGAAGCTACTCAAGCCGCGTTCCGACGGTATCACGGCAGAAACTCGGTTATCGTGGAGAATTATTGAGTGTGGAACTCGATTCCGACAACTGTAGTAAGTGAACCTACGGTTAAGGGTTCCGGGCGTCAGATGCTCTTGGGTGGCAACACGAAACATTTTCCTTCTGTTGACCATATCCATCTTCTGGCAGCTCATATTCTGTGCTTCTTATCACTTTTTGGTGTTATCCTTTATTTAAATGACTTTCCTCTTTATCTTCCATTTTCTTTCTACGTCATCCTTACTTCACGTGACCTGCACAGCGGGGACTGCTAGTATAGGGAAGATAAGCACTATGGTTGACCATAGTGTGGTTCGGGTGTTTCGTTTTAGCTCCATCAAGACCTCATAGCACCTTGTCATTTCCTGGCTCAGTGATCTGCTTAAGGAACATTCAAGGGATTTTCCTATTGTTCTAGTCCCATTTGAATCGGAATTATTGTTATCTCTGTGTGCTGCTCCAAACGGACATCTTTTCCCTGCTTAATTGAACGCAGTTCTCCAGCCAACTGTCCTTAACAACATTTCTATCATCACGCAAACTGTTTGTAAATCTGCGTCAAGGTGCCGACACATGCCTCAAGTCATTGTCTGATCTTTTCCATCTCTCTTGCCATCGAACCTGATTTTTGTTTTCCAGCCAGTTTAGATGCATGCTAGAGAGCATATGGCGTTTCTCTCCAGCCCTTACAGTAACGAGAAGCGTGCACGTGGCCATTTTGAACGCCTAGAAATCAGCAAAAGCCATTTACTCGAAGAGTTACTCGTTTCAGAAATAAAATACTTATCCTACTTGAAAAAGATTGTACAGGTACATTTCTTTGCGTACAATATGTGTATCGGATTAGCATTTTGCGGAACCACTCCGAGAAAGCGGTCTACTTCCTGGTGAATTACACAGCGAGGTTTTCGGATTTATCAGCCCTATCATTAATGTGAATGAAACCCTATTGGAATCAATTCTCACATTGGGCATCGAAGAGGCTTTTCTCACGCTAGCCCCCTGTCTCAAGCTATACGCAGATTACGCTCGGCGGTATCAAAGCATTTTGGTTATTCTTGAGGTATGTTTGCTCCTTTTTGTGTGTTAAAACACCCTTACTTTGTATTCCTGTGCTACAAAAGTTGGGGTCAGGCGTTCTATTTTATCTCACTAGGCTATCGTCCCTGCGTCTATCGCCTTAAGGAAGCCGAGATGATTTACTCTCCTCTTGCCACTCAGATAATTTATCGGAAACTGGAACACAGACTTTCCCTTACCTTTTCGATAGCTTTTTGGTTTTTAACATCACCACACATCAACAGAGGATTTTAGGCTCCTCATGAATGCGAGCCCAGTAGATGATTCCGGGAATTCCCATTTGACCTACTGGTAATCCTCAACTCTGGCCGCGTCGGGCTATCCAGTCTTTAGGGAAGATCACTGACACTGGCCCACAAACATTGTTGGCTGCGAGCCGAGTACGAGCGTGATCGCCATTTGAGCGCACAACGTAGTCATGTGGTATTCCTGAAACATGTAGCGCTACTGCGTATAAATGCATTCGAATCCATAGGCCCAGTTTTTATGGATGGCAGCCCTAAGCACTTATTCTTCGTTTTTGCCTCAGTACTACACCACGTTCCCTCGATAGCAGTTTAATTTTAATTCAGTCTAGCATCCATAGGAACAAATCTCTTATACAGGCTCTTGGGCCTACCTAATGCAGTGCGATGACCTGTTACAACAAATGGTCGAATACGATCTATTCAGACATGGGGTGATCTGCTGTTAACCTCGTCGGTTCTTAGCTAAATATATTTTTCCCATCTTAGGGGCCAAATAATAAGAACATCTTATCCTTACCAGCCATGCTGGCGTATTCTTTTGAAACCATTTTCCTGGGTCTTAGGTTGCATCAATGTCGTATCTAATAGCTTGATTCGTAGAACCACGCGTATTTCATATACATTACCCATTACATCAATCCAGTCTCGTCCTAAACACCGTCGAATTCTCTGGTTACACCGCGTTTCTTCAGTTAGAACACTTTTTGTCGAGGTTATTCATTCACTTTCTGGATTAGCCTCATGTCAGTCCGTTGTCTGATCGACTTTATATCTGCTGTTCTTCTTTTCGTTTCCCGGTTACGTGGTTCAGCTTTGTGTGTATGCCCAATTTCTCTCTCCACAAGTGTCTGTTTCTAGGTCATGTTACCATCAACTGTGCATCATACCCTATTAATACATTCAGTGCTTGGACGGCTGTTGATAACCAGAGAGGATGTAGGATGCAAGCCCCAATGGGATGTCTTCTATTTTATTCCAACACACTCGTTCTAAGAAATTGTGGCCGTCTGCCCCAAAGGAGAGGTCACATTGGTGAGGCAAGAGAGCGAAGGATCAAGTAATCGTCGGTGTACCAACTAGGACAAAAGTGCTTTGTAATCTTGCCCCAGGGTTGCTTAGCGGTTTCACTTCCACTTGTATCTGTCCACCTAACTCATCCGTGTGGGTCATTTAGCCGATGTATGCTCCAGTCATCCAACCAACTCGTGCCTCTCAGTCCCATTTCAATCTGTTAGTTGATTGACCTAAGCTGCTGAGTAGCTTAGCGATTGTGACCGCATATGGTTGACAGGTGTGCGCCGTCGCATACAGAAAGGTCCTTGATAATTAATAATTTGTCGACTATATTTCACTTGCATTCTCGTATTACTGCTTGTGTCCTAAGATCTCACTCGATGCTATCCGAGGTTCTCCGTTCCGTAGTCCCCTGACCCGAACTAAACATGTCAACACGCTTCCAGCCCCGCGTTGCGACTTCCTTCCTTATATACCATTTCTGATTCAGCACAATTTAATTCCGCTAACTGTCCTATGGTCATAGGGACGAGCGCTGTGTCTCAGGGCTATCGTTCCAGCACTCAACTATCACCCTTTTAACTGTGCAGACGTTCTTCACACTTTGTACATCGTACCCCTATTCTCATGTTCTACTGCGGTTCACTCGTGTACCACATGTTAATTTCTTTCATTTCTTTCATTATCCTTCTTGTCTGCAGACTTGCTCGAGTCTTAGCTACGAGCTACAGCAATTCCTTGAGCATCAAGAAAGTTCACCTAATGTGAGATTGCAGTTACCAGCATTGTTAATTATGCCAATTCAACGGATACCAAGGTTTGTTCGTACGGACACACTTGAATAATCTTTTCTCTGCGCTTCTCTCGGTTGCTCATTCGTATTGCTTTCCTATTCGTTCTCTATGCTGAAGCATGGAGAATCATGCACTCTTTGTGTCTATTTTGGACACCTACCAATTTTTGCCACGCTTACCATTTACTTCCGTCAGCTTTTTCACGGCTTACTAATGCTCTTAGAGTAGCTTGGTTCTCATGTCTACTCGTAGCCTTAAGGTTCACATGTATGCATTGTAGTTCTAGGTCGCAAATTTGAACCTGTGTAGGGGACCGGGCGACCCTTGCAGTATTCTTAGCTCACGCGGGACAATGTTTGCGTGGCAACGAAGCATCAGTACTGAGTATCGGCGTACTGCTGATGCCCATAACTTCCTTTCTTTTTTGTACGTCGTTTCTGACCAATCTTTAGATCGACTTCCTTTTTGCCCATAGGTACTCCTTGTTATTTCAAGAACTTCTCATAGTTTACCTTCGACAGGATGGCTTATCTGATTCACATGCGTACTCCTGCATTGAGGGGATTTTACGTGTCACCCGAGAGAAAACTGTGGTACCTGAACAAGTGTGCAAACACATACTCCGCATGTACGAATGTGCTCAGACCCGTCAACCTTACCCCGAGGATTGTGAGTTGGCATCAGACCTCATGTTTCTTGGGCAATTTTTACACACCATCCGTCTCCGAACCGCAAGGCTTCTATCAGCGTTTTCCTCCATCTCTTCAACATCCACTTACCTGAACGAGCTTGTCAGGGTGAACGACGAGGCTGCCATGACCGCGTTCCTGCAATCTCGACTGCTAGGATGTTGGACCCGAAATTTGCTAATGGTCCCTGGGCGACGCCTCCTTCGGTACGGCCTGGTTGATAAGGTACAATGAGTGGTTTTTCTCAGCCTCTTCGTTTTCGTACTTGCTGTTGTTTAATGCTTTTAGGTATTCATTTAGTTCTCACATTAAAAGAAAATGTTGTTAACTATTTTTCGGTCACATGTTGTTTCATTGTGTGAGTGCACTCTTCATCGCTCATTTTCATTGGGCTAATGCTTTCCTGGCTAACACGAAGCCCGAGTCCCATGGCAAGTATCATCAACTCGCCAACCCCCTGGTCTATTAGTATGTCTGTTAGTTAGATAAAGCAATCTATATCCGTTTTTCGCTGGTAGCAGCAACGATGTGCCTACATTTAAGCCTGATCCAGTTCCCCAAAGTCCAAATATTGCTTCCCGTTTAGTCCTCAGAGTGAGTAACTTGGACGGGCAACTACTATCTCGTACTTGAAACCTTGATGCTAGCATGTTGTCGCAACTTTTGGTCTACACTTTCTCTCTATGCTAGGGAGCCGCATTTTACTCTATCCTCTCACCGCGGTTTGATCACTTCACTAGTCACCTGTTATTGTGCGTACAGAACGGACTGCATCTTGATTCATCAATTTTTCATGAGGATGGCAGCTATTACATTTTATTATTCCGTTGATATCCTCCTCGCATGAGACAGTTGAGGTGGTTTGTACACACATGGCCTGTGACGGGGGGACATTTAGGCTTCATCTGTTCCTTATCGCCGCAACAACTGCCGTTGGAGCTGTCAATCGCCACATTATGTGCGATCGAGCGATGTTCACGTACTGGTACATTAGAGTCTGGGCGTTTTTGCGATGTCCACATTTAAGTCGTTGGTTCCTGCTCACGACTAAAAACCACTTTTCGCCATTTCTCAATAACTCGATCGTTTAGCAAATCCATTTAGTTAGGCTCAGTGCCACTTGAATCGTTCGTCGCAACCTGGCATGGCACATCATCTGATGAAGGTAATGGCGTGTTCGGTATTTGCCTGTAGGTCGATACTTAGTTTCTTGATGTCCCGACGCTCACAGATCTACTTAAGTCTGCAATGCACACGTTCCAAGGTACACGAATGTCCGGTTCATGTTGTGCGTTGGGTTAAAACACTCTTGAACGTCCTTGACAATCGCCGGGATCCTCAAACCTTTACAAGCATGGCCTGTTCCGATGCCCACACAGTGGTTGTTCCGTGGTGCTGCTTCACGTTGATTCTTCACACGTAGCCTTACAATTATTTTACCCTATTTGATTATGTGGCTGACAATACCACGAGTTGGATAGTTATTCAGCACAGGAATACACCGGTAGAAACATCAAATTTCCCCACTGTAACTCGTAAGGCACCTTACAGTTGGCCGTCGACTGCGCTTCACAACAGCTATTTAATTGAACGTCTCGATTACCTCACTTCATGGTCACTTCTTTATATCACTTTCGGGAAGTCTGACCGTTCTCTGAATTTCACAAGATTAAACCTGACTTCTAGCGTTTTCGCCTATGATTATTGTATGCGTAAATATGCACAAACATTTTGTCCGATCCTCTTTACTAACCAGTTGTGAACCGCACCCCTCCCATGCCAGTACATGATGCCGCCAGTCTATCGGTATCCTCTGCCGAGAAAGCGCTCTTCGCGCACGACCACACATTATCCGGCATAATGAACGGACGGACTGATCAGTGGACTAGCCCCAGCTACAGGAATCAACTCCCATGCCTGAACAACAGGGGTTTGGGGGTTTACCTGACGCTACCGTGTCAGCCCTTAGCATTTCCGTAGTATTTGAGCACCGGTAGAATAAGTACTTTGTTCTAGGTTCCTTCGCGGTAGTGTCAGGTGTTCTGTTATAGCTACATTTTAATCCACAATGCAAGCGACAAAATTCGCTCAGAAGGGTTGAATAACGCGTTTCCATCAGAATTAATTCAGACAAAAGATCGGTTTTGGGTTAAGGATGCTATTTACAAATAGCGCTTCATGCTCAAAATGGCTACAGCGATAAACAGCTTGGTCTGAGAGGCAACAAACTGGGCTTCAAAACGACTAGGATACAGGTTATTGCATTGCAGTGCATATGGCAGTTGAAACAGTTGAATTGGTTACTCACACAAATTGCGCAGGTATGTGGAAATGCGGCCACATCGGCTGATTGCACAGCGTTTACACAGCATAACTGTTTGTCTAGCAGGGATGTTGTCAATTTGTCTGAGGTCACACGTCCACTGGTGCGGAATAGCTGTTAAACAGTTGATCGTAATTGGTACGGGTGGGGATGTAAGGACCGTGGTGAAGTGAAATACATTGTTCATGTAAGGAAGACCAATCCATCTCGGTTCGTAAGAATTTGCACTGCATGGAAAAATATAAAATAGTATCGGAAACTGTCTCGAGAAGAGGAGGACGATTGTCAGTTTGAGACAATGGACTTACATGGAATGTAGTAAATGTTTCGCAAAGTGCAAGAGATATACAAGAAGTGGCACGAAGCCCACAGCTATGGAGAATCACAATTCTTCTACACTGGACATCCACCCGATCAGGGACGCTACCATCATTACTATCGTTTCGATAGTACGGTATTACACTCTTTTACTAACGTCGCGACCTGTTTCATGTGAAACCACATAGACGTTATGACGAAAGCGGAAAAATTCGCATCTATCCCCTTCGCATCACATTTACTATTCCAGAAACTCAGCCGTCCGATTTAAGGAACACTTGGAATCGTCACTACATCCCCTATGGCTGGTGCGTTCTTGGTTCAGGAAATTTTCCTTAACGGGCTAATCCGTCGTCATTGTGAATGGTGATTCGCTAGGTGGATTTGCTTCATTTTTGTCAGGCTATTTATCTACTACTCGATAACCGGACCACAATAATTTCGGTTGCATACCTTGTCGTAACAGTTAGAAATGCGCTCGGTACAGAAATATGTGAGAAACAATGCTACTGTCATTGTTAGATCAACCATGGAGCAAAAGGCCTGCTGAGATCAATTAAGGTCTAAAAGCGTCGTAGTGTGCAGTGTTCTCTGGTGGGCGACACCAAATTCCCATCTGATTATACTCATCTGGTGAAGAGACTAAAAAGATTCAAAAGACCAAACCCACCTATTGATTTCGCTATACCGATTAAGATCTTAAATCCTTAACAATGCCTATCGGAGACCGCTATCTAGATGACTTTGCCAACTAATCCGTTTTGTCACATCTTCCGTTGACCAACGTCAGATTTCAGTCAAGTAGTCACATCACCAGAAAATGCTCTGCATCGGATTAGGTGGCCAGCAATCATACGAAAAAGGCGACGGATCCAACGTATGTTGTGCAAGTTCAGTAAATCGTCCACCACAATGTTAAGCGTTTGAAGTGGGCGAGTTTGCTGCTCTCACTGGATGTCAACTGTGCGTCCATGCGCCAACTTTCCAGCCCGAGCATTTTCTTCATGTCCCGTCTCTGTTTCATACGACAGCACTCGTCGTGCTTCGTCACCACACCCTCTGTCTGACTGATGGACTGCTTTTTCTGCTTGAGAGCCCTGAGGCGTTGTTTGCTTGTGCCCATCCAATCTGTGCTCCACGTTTCACCCTCGTCATGGTGAAAAGCAAGTTGTTTACAAGTGCTTTTCCCCCAAATCGACATGATGAGTGGGTAAACTCACGAATGAGTGCTACACTTATGAGCTGTACCCTCGTCTACTACCCTGAAATCATATATATTTATCTCTTAGACACGAGCAATACTACCACTTTGGAGTCGATCAACTTGAAGATGGCTGATTCGCCTTCAGAGGCGTTCATCGACACATCTGTTGCAGCGGTTGATTCTAACAATGTATTAGTGTTCTGCTATGCGGAGCATCTGCTCTGTCTACGGAGTATTCCTGCTCGTTTATCCATTCTCGATACGGGTCAGAAATTTGCATGGCTGTGAGGCGGGTGTCACACTTGATCAGCTCGAGAAGTCCACGCGGATGTATGGTCGGTCCATTGAGCAGGATTTTGTGACAGCACTGAACACAGCCGTCTACAAATCTGCTGGATAGGTCACGGATGCCAAATTGCGTCATAAGAGCTAACCTAGAATCAGCATCGGCTGTCACGGTGTGTGACACTGTGTTAGTCAATGTACTTGACATTTATCTCTGGCTTTTGTTCCGTGTGGCGGTCGAGACTTCTTAGAGATTCAACTCGGGTACGTTTTAAGCAAATCCGATCAAACATTGCACAATGACCATTTTCGGAATTCCATGTACGTGTGTGTCTGCAACATACCGCATCAACCTGTCCTTTTCGCGTACATTGCCTACGCTAGGGCAGCGCAGACAGTATCTGGTCACCCAATGCCATCTTCGGATCAGGGTGTTAGGCAAGGCTACCTTATGTTGAGTTTCTCTAATCCACTGGTTCCCTACCTACGGGTGAATACCCACAAAGGGGTAAACTGGGATTTTACGAAGGATAAATGCAAGTACAAGGATTTGATCAGTCGCGAAGCAAAATTATCAACAAAATCATCCGTATCAAATTATCCAACTGCCTAATCACTGATTATTGTTCATTAGTGACAATTCGGCCGTGATTTCTTAGTGGATTGGACCATTACATGTAATAAATGTTATTACATAAAACACGAATATAAGCTTTCACCGCAGCGCCATTAGATGACGCATCCTTTTGGTTTGCCCGTCGATCAGGCAGTCATTCGCCGCTTCGTGACCAATTTCTGCATGGGAAATTGACCTTGCCGATTTCGCTAACTTCTGAACATGTGGCTCATGGACGTGTAACAAAATCAGGCGAGTGAATTAACGGTATGCAAATATTTCCTGATTTGTAAAATCGCCAAGTATATTATGTACACTAAGGCCCTTTTCAGTAGATGAAGTAATATTCCTAGCTACTGTACTTGAAGCCAAAATACTATCCCTTCAAATTCGCGAAGATAGCGCAGTTAAAATAGATTTCGAGAACACACAGCAAGCAACATTTTAGGCAAACGCAGGTAGCGAAAAAGGCTTGATGA